AATCACGCATTTCTCGTGTCAAAACTTTAATTAATGAGCTAGCTTCCAGTTTTTAGAGACAAGTGATATCTCGTTCCCGTTCTTGTCATCGCTTTTTTTCGCGCACATCTTGCTCAGCACCGAACAACAACACGTGCTGTTAACGGCTCCTCACTCGAATCAAACCGCCACTTCGTAACAGATCGTGCCACCAAAATCCAATTTCTGGTGAATACTGGCGCTGATTTCTGCTTTTTTTCCAAGTCTTTCGCACCTTAGTCGCCGGAACGAGTCAAGTCTAATCTCACAGCAGCAAATGGGTGTACGATTAACACGAACGGTTGCATAACTCTATCACTAAACCGTGGCCTCAACAATTTTACATGGTACTTCGTAGTGGCAGGCATTACGAAACCTATTATTGGCGCAGATTTTTTGGCACATTTCGGCATCTTACCCGATCTCAAGAACATCTGACTTATCGACTCGATAACTGGCCTAAAAGTCACATGTAAGTTATCAGCATCCAACATCATTTCGGAAATTAAAGTACTGCCAGTCGACCCTATATGGGAGATCATTAGAGGAGTTCCCTAACCTAACAAAGCCGGACAATCAAAATTGCCAAGCATAGTTCGACAAAAATCTCCGCTTCACCTGGTTAAAAATAGTTGTGGAGATTATCGACGAATTAACGCCCGTACATTGCCAGACCGATATCCGGTTCGTGTTCTCGTAGACTTTACTGCCAATCCAACCGGAAAAACAATATTTTCAACCATTGATCTTGGGGGCGCGCTTTTAATCAAATATCTCTCACCAAAGAAGATGTTGACAAAACTGCAGCTCGGTCTTTTCGAATTTCCGAAATGCTGCGCAAATATCCCAACGATTTATCGACGAGTAACATGGGGACTAGACCGCAGTCACCTTCTCTTGCTTTTCCAAAAGCTCACTAAGTATGGTATCGTAATTAATACCGCTAAGTGCCGTTTTGGTTTGTCCGAAGTGGATTTTTTGGGTCGCCGCATCTCAGCAACAGGAATCTTAACTCTTCCAGGTAAAGTAGACGCAATCGTTATCTTTCCTCGTCCAACAACGATCCGAAAATTGTGTGAGTTCCTCGGCATGATAAATTTCTATCGTAAATTTGATGCAAAGTAGAGCTACGTAAAGCAACGATATTAGTATAGCCAGACACAACGCTTTCTTGGGCAATATTTCCTGATGCCTCCCAGTATGCTATCGGCGCCGTTCATCAACACAGACGCGGACAACACTGGGAACCATTGGCTTTCTTTAACCAGAAGCCAGTCTATGCGAACGGGTGCTTTCGAAGCACGACATGCCACGACATTCACGGATCACAAGCATTTGCTTCACACTTTTGCTCAGGACCCTGATCGGGCGACACCTTGGCAATTCCACCGCCTGGTTTTCATCAACCGATATCCAAAACATACTTTCTAGGAAGTTTGTAACACCCAGGAGGAAACGTCGGTGACCCTATAAAATATATACATAAATAATCATATAGCGGCATACAAACTGAACAATCGCAATCAAGTGTTTGCAAGGAAAACTTTTTCATTTGACGAGATATCTCCACGAAATTTGGAACGGATCATTATTTCAGGCAATAATGAAATCTCCGAAGAAATGTTTCTGATCTGATCAGTATAGCATATAGCTGCCATACAAGCTGACTGATCGGGATTAATTTCTTCTAAGGAACCCTTTGTCTGTAGTAGTAGTCTATTATAGCTTCGGTGCAACCGAAGTTAACGTGTTTTCTTGTTAATATTTAAATATCTAAAATAACTTCTATTAAATAATTTAATTTTTAATATTTTTTAAATTAAAATAATATATGCATACGAAGTGTGTTTTTTTGAAAATTACTTTTTTATTCATCAATATCTATTTGGTCCCCTTCAAAGTAATCCCTCTCGGATATAATACAATACAATTGTGCTGACGCTTTTTCCAATCCTCTTCGATTCTGACTTGATCTCATCAATTGTGGCAAAATGCTTTCCTTTCATTGGTTTTTTCAGTTTTGGAAACAGGAAAAAGTCTCAGTGAGTCAAATCTGGTGAATATAGTGATTGAGGCATGATTACGGTTTTGTTTTTGGTCAAAAAATCACGAATAAGCATTTAATGGTTTTTCAACAACTCCGATTGTTTGAGCGGTATTGCTTCACGCAAACGTTGCATAACTTCCTTGTAGTATTCCTTATTAACTGTACGACCTTTTGGTAGGAACTCATGATGCACCACACCATTGTTATCAAAGAAAACAGTGAGCAAACACTTCACATTTTATCGAACTTGGCGTGCCTTTTTCGGTCTTGGTTCATCTGCCAACTTCCATTGGAATGATTGTCATTGGTTTCGATGTCATAACCATATACCCACGTTTCGTCACCAGTTATGACCCGTTTGAGCAAACCCGGCATGAGTCGATTTATATGCCAACATCCTTTGCAACTTCCCTAATAGTGATCCGACGATTTTCAAGAACAATTTTTATCACTGTTTCAATGTTTTCTTCGCTTGTTGAAGTGGTCATACCTTCAGGATGCTCATCGTTATCAACATCATCTTGGCCTTCTGTAAAGCGCTTGTAGCATTTATAAACACATTTTTGAGACAAAGTGGACTCACCGAATGCCACAGTCAATATTGCAAGCCCATTGGAGCACTTTATTCCATTTTTAAGGCAAAATTTATTACATTTTCATTGATCCATTTCTTTCAAAAGTCAAAAATTGAAGAACGGTTAATGTGTTTTGTTCTGTTGTCAACAATAAACTTCTAATAGAAATTGGCTCCTAATTCAAGCAACAAAAACATATGTGTTACTAAACAAACCAAATATCGATAATCGAATGTACACAGCCCCGAAAAAACAAAATTCACCTTTTCTTTGAAACACCTCGTAATATACATAAGTAATTATTAATTTATTATTTTATAACTTTTTTTGCTTAAACGTTATAATATTTAATTAAATTAAAATTTTATTAAATTTAAAATCGTTTCATGGATTAATTATTTTTTTTGCAATATTTAATATTATTTTATTTTTTTCTCGCGCAATTTTATTAGTAATTAAAATTATTGAAATCTTTATAAAACACGAAATCTTTTTATTTGCAAATATTTTTAATAATGTTAATATTTTATTTAATTCTATTTTGATTATTATATTTTTTTGAAAATTCTAATATATCATTTCAATTTAAGTTTTAAATTTTTTATGAATATAAATTTTAAAAAGTATTTTATTTAATTTTTTTTCACAAATTTTTCTTTTAAATTTTAATATTACATTTCCCATTTCATATTTAATATTTTGTTTTTTAAAAAATAAAACTAAAAACCATATATTTTATTTTAATTTAATTGTTTTTTTTCATTCAAGAGCTATAATGTTTTACTTCATATTAATTTTAATATTTGTATTAAATTATAAAAATTAATATATCCTATTTAATTTATATAAATTGTAATTAAAAGGATATATTTTTTATTTGAATTATATTTCATTATTTTTTCGTTTTAAAGTTATAATATTTCATTTATATTTGATTATTAATATTTGACAAATAAATACTAAATTTACTATATTTTATGTTTTATAAATTATAACAATAAAAATCACATCTTATATTTAATATTTGTTTTAAGAAAGAATATTTTATTTCGTTTATTTTTTTTTCGTTATAATATTTCATTTCATATTTAATTTTTTTTTTTAAATAACTATAAATAAATTAAATAATTTTTTAGTATTATATTATTTTATATTCGCTTGTAATACTTCATTTCACATCAGTTTTTTTTAAATTATTTGCTTCTTCACGGTATTTAGGTTCTTTGAAAACGCTCATAATATTATTTATTTACTTAATTTTCACATATTACTATTTCAATATAACTATAATTATCTATTTGATATGCAAAAGCAAATGCAATTACCACAAAAGCTGCAGTTAAAGAAATAACGGTTTTCAGCGCCAATTTTACACGTAAGTTATTTATAAAACAATAACTGTAAACTGCAAAATTTCATTTAAAAATAAATTTTGCTTCCGAAGCTCAATAAAGCGATGAAGTCGACAAAGCTAAACTAAATACAGTTAAAATGCGAGCGTTGCAGATCGCTTATTAGTGCGATTAACTAAAGAACTTTACTGCACTGGAGACTGCAATCAATTTATATACAAGAATCATAACAGAGTAACGCCAAGCCGGCTAGCATAGCGGAGCCTGAGAGAACACACGCACACACACACACACATGCACGTAATCGGCCGGAAGCAACTGAAATTGCAAAGAGATCAGACCACGCTGACAGCAATACATATGTGTGCATGTGACCCTGAAAAACGCCTAGGCTTGTTCGCAGGGTTCTGTTTCGCAATATGTGGAGATAATGGCGTAGTTTACCGTATTTACATATATACACACACAATCATAAATGCACCGAAATCTGTCTACATATGTTTTTGTGTGTTGTTGCAGGCCTGTTTGTAGCGGTTCCGGTAGCCGAAAAGTAGGTGTCTCACACAGGCATACCCACACATATGCGCAAGTGAGCGCACATAAGTGAAAAATATAATATAATTTTATTGCTGGGTCAAGTATATATATGGTCTGAAAAGTCCCTAACACAGAAAACACGTTTTGTTTTGTTCGAAATCATTCCAGCGCCACTCCAACATTTCAATACAACTTTTGTAGAACGATTTGTCTTTTGACCAAAATAGGCCTAAAGCATACACGCTCTTTTAAACTTTCCTTTCCGATCATTCAGAACGATTTTGTGGATTTTTTTTTATGTTTTCTCGGGTTAAAGGCTCATTTGGACGCCCACTGTGTTTTTGAAGTCAGCAAACCAACGTTTTATTACGGATTCTGATGGTGCTGAAATCTCACAACATATGTCAAGCCGCTGCTTCGCTTGAACAGAAGTTTTTCCCATCAAGAAGCAGTGTAAATTAAAATACGAAATTGTTTCTCACACATTGTTTTTAAAATAACAAAATTAAAATAACTCTTAGCACAATAACTCGCAAACTTAACTCAAAAATGTAATAAAATTTTAACAGCTTTCTTTTGAAGGTCAGTAAATTAGGCGAATTCAATAAAACTAGCGCCATCTATGTGTGAGGCCCGGAAATTTTCAGCCCATGTACCTTTACATCGATAAACCGAACCTCTATTCAACACTTGCAATGGGCGATGGTTGTCCCATAACGGTGCACCATTTCTCTGTCTCAGTTCGAAGAATCTTTGGATCTATAAGAAAGCGATTAAGCATTAAAAAAAATTTCAGTTTAGCATTTTTCACATTTGCTTACCATTGCAGGCAACATAAAAAGTGGGCTGGGAAAAACGTGCCATGTAACCACTTCCGAATAGGGTGGTGTGGTAAGTGAACCTGAAAATTTTTAGTATTCATTATATTCAATCTAGAAATATAAGTATACGAGTATATCTGCTACCCACCTCTGTAGGCAAAAAAGTTTCTGGAATAAACATCGCCCAAAAAGTCATTCAAGACGAGTTGATTAATTATAGTTGTATTCGTATCGGCCTCCTGCACTCTGGATAATGCATTTAAAACTATATTCAGCCCTGGGTAATACGTTTGTGGATTCTATGGTAGACAGACATTTATTATGGCGCAAAATAATATTTCCAGCTATACCCCGAACTTACGTCCACAATATCAATCATAATGGCCAACACCGCCAAACCGTCTGGATACTGCATTGCTTCCTCTGCGTTGCCATATTTCATATTTTTATGCACAATGTGAATTTCCACATCGTAACGGTAACCATTTACGGTGTGTTCCGAACCCCTAATATCACCTGGCGCACCCCAATGAAAATGCACCGACTGTGCTTCGTAGACACCATCCAACAGACCGCCTGTAATAGTTGGCCGCAGTCCACGTACAGTCTCAGGCAGTGTTATATCAGCTGTTAAGTATGACAAGTGTTATTTAATTCAGTCGTAAAATTTGTGTTGCTATTAAAAGTTTCAAATGATGGATTTACCTGTATGACCGTTATTGATGAGCGTGAGTGGGAAAGCGAATGGCTGCGCATAGTTTCTGAACTTCAAAGCCGGCTTAAGCGAAGCTATGGACTGAAAGTGAACACAATCAAAGAGTATGAGAAATGAAAAAAAATTTATATACATATGTACGTAATTAAAAAAATTAAATCATTTCATATTGTCACTTAATAGATCAGTAATTTGAATTAATATATCATCTCAAAACTGGTGACACGTAAATATATTAATTATGCAATTTGCTAATTTGACAATTAAGAAACGCACAGACTTAACTATGTGCCAGTATGTCAGTATATATATAGATCTATGGTACCATAAAGTCTTCGTTTGGTTATGTTCGAAAGTGGGTAATTTTTTTTAGCAAAGTATGACATATTTATGCAAATTTATGGCATAGAATCAATTATGTCTTACGTGATGACATTAAAAAATACAGTCCGCATAGTAAAATTATTTTCATTTAGTTATGGAATACCTTTAAATATTAACACAGCTAATTATTTTAAACACTTTACTCTTGAAGAATATGAAAGTATTTGAGAGTAGACGTGCTCTAAAGTTTATATATGTAGGTTATCCGAACAGTTATGTCTTTTGAAATTGAGTATATGAGATCAATTTGAAGTCTTAATTCTGCTCACGCGTCTATTAAAATAGTATTTTTTTGTTCTCAGACAATCAATTTCTGATATATTTTTAAGATAAGGGATAAATAGGAGAGAAATACTCAATGCAGACATTTTACGTTGATATATCTAAGCCGGAATTAATCCGATCTATAATGATAACTTTAAGGCTTAATAAAAATTTGCTTTGGCGAATCGAACGACAGCAATTGCATAAAACAGAAAATGCCATCATTATATACAAATGGAGTAGATCGCCAAAAAAAATAATTAAACCAAAGACATTTCCACAATGCTATAACTTTATTCGACTCGTCAAAGCTTTTGTAATAGCGAATAGAACAAACAACTGGTAAAAATCAATAAACTAAAACTAACATATATGTATATACAATTTTAATCGTTATGCCACTTTGCGCTTTCGTATTAAATATAATAAAAAGGAGAGTAGAGCGCAATAATAGCGAGTAGGGAATTGACGAATCGAAGCTGTCCTGTACTATTTTTTAATTTAATACGAATAATCGTACTCTATGATTCCCCAAAATGTTTAAACAAGAATTAGGCGCCTAAATCTATGAGGACTTTCAGGAACCATAAAATAAATTCAGGCAATTCTTTAATAGTGAGTCGTGGTGTAGTTAAATATAGATGAACTACAAGAACGCAATACTCAACACTTACGGTATAATGATCCAAATTGATCGGGGACTGTTGTGAACCACCAAAAATTGGATAATCTGCGATCCATCTATTTGTATCACGGTAATCCCACTCTGGCGCGGTTTGAACCGCTATTTGGCGGGCGAAAAACCAAATGCAATTGAAAAAAAGAAACAACATGTGCATAAATACTAAATAAAACTTGTTCAACAATAATTACATAATAAAAGCAAAGTAGTTTGCAAATTTCGCTTTTTTCACTGCTTTTGAGCTCTTCGAAATTTTTCGTTTTCGATATCTAGCAAGTAAATCAACCGATTTCGACCCGGTTTGCGGCAAACGATGTGTTTCTTCAAGGTTTAGAACTGATTAGTTTTTGGTGTTGATCGGTCAAGTCGTTTGGAAGAAATTCGAAAAAAATTTTCAAAATTTTTTGAGATTTCTCAAAATCTACTGGTCCGATTGGGTCCACACTCACACGAAATTCAAGTGCAATGAAACCCTTTGGAATGCCGTTTAGTTTATTCAAATCGGTTGAGCCGTTTAAAAGTTATAAGAGGGTCACATATATCCACACACACACACACATACATCCACACATACATACAGACATACGGACATCATCGTAGAAATGTTCGGGGAAGCTTCCTCGACCCTCAAAACGTCGAGATCTGTTGAGAACTCGATTTTTGCAAAATGGGGTGAAACCAATATCTTCCCGATTTTTAGAAAATTTTCAATTTTCTTAGCGGGAAGTTAAAAAAAATAGAAATAAATTAAGCGTGAACTAAGATAAAAGTTACGAGTTTGACTTTGTTTGTGTATTTGTATTAATACAAACATATTTTTGAGTTGGAGTATGTTCAAACATTTACTTATGCACTTCTAATGAGACGTAACGATTTGTTGTACAAGTAGATCACTAATGCGACTGCGTGTGAACGGTGAGCCCAGTTCTTATCGACCTCTTTGCATGCTGGATACACTTGGCAAGATACTAGAGCGGATAATCTGTGTACGATTAAAGTCGCACTTAGAAAAAGAATACCAGGGTCTCTCCGAAAATCAATACGGATTTCGGAAGCGGAAGTCTACCGTTGATGAAATTAAAAAGGTCACTGATATTGCTAACAGATGNATGTATGGCACAAAGGAGTACTGCGCAGTAGTAACATTCGATGTAGCAAATGCGTTTAACTCAGCTTATTGGCCTCATATAATAAGCGTCCTGGAACATAAGGCAACACTGGCTTATCTAGAGAAAATTGTAGCCAGCTACCTGTCAGATCGACAGTTGCGATATCGATGACGGACCGAAAACGGTATCGGGTGGAGTACCACAGGGTTCTGTGCTCGGCTCACTGTTGTGGAATGTACTCTACTACAGTGTGCTGTACCTTGCACCACCGAAGGAAGTGCAGATCATCGGATACGCGGTTGACATTGCGGTAACAGTGGTAGCAAAGCGACTGGATAAAATCCAGAACTTATGTAATCAGACGGCATCAAAAATCAAAGTTTGGCTCGCTACAGCAAACCTCCAGCTTGCTGGACAAAAAACTGAAGCAGTACTTATTACAAGCAGGAAGAAGCTGGAAGGCATCACCCTTACTATCGACGGCTATAGCATCACGACTAAGCAATCAGTGAAGTACCTAGGCTAGTGTAGCGGCGGAACTAGCGAGGATAATGGCCAACATCGGTGGAACAATTCAGAATATGCGTGCGCTATTGGCCAAGGTGAGCCAATCTACTTATATTGATGTACGCAGCGCCCATATGGGGACCAGCACTGCGGAATAAATCTTACATCAAGAAAGCGAAATCCGGAATTCGGCTCAGTGCCATTAGAGTCCCCTGCGCATTCCGCACAGTATCTCACGAGGCAGCGGGGAGCATGGTAGGTTTCATACTACCGGACATAATGGCCATGGAAACCAAAAGAGTTTACGATAGATCCAAAAGTTTAGAAAGGCGACTAACGGTTGCAGAGCTGAAAGACATCGTGCATTTCGTCCGCAAAAGTGACGATATCTTGGAAGATTCCTCCTCCGAAAAAAAAGCACACATGAGTTGTAGATCACTTGAGTTGTATACTTAAATTTAACCCCACATACACACATACATTTAATTAGATAATTAAGATTTGTAAATAGTATTTAAGCGATGAATTTAGTAAAATAAAATTAGAATGATCAATAAAGTCTTTTCTGTCCCCCATCAGCGGTGTGACATTTAGAAATTTTCATTGAGTTTAAAAAATATCGTTACAAAATATTAATAATATGATTAAATAAATTATTGTCTAATATAATTAACAATTCATCGAAACTCGTTTTTATAGCTTATATCGGTAAAAGCATGCGGTTTCGTAGAACCCATTTCATATTGATAAGCTTTTTTTTCGATTGAACTGCTAATCGAGAATGTAATAACAAAACGAAACCAAACATTCAGGCCGGTAAAATACAAAAACACCGTGGAATTTTACTTTGTTATTAATATTTGGGATTTATAATTATTAATCGCTACAGAGCGATCGCCAGTACTTCTGAATATGTACAACGCCTGTCCGAAGAGATTTTAGTTTGCAAAATATCTTCTATAATTTAATTAATTTAAATTTTTAATATTTTTTTTAATTAATTAATTTAATTTTAATTTTTTTTATTAAAATATCATTTCACACGATTAAATTGGTGACTATTCAATTTTAGAATTTCAAATTTTGTTAAATTTAAAAATCTTTTCATGGATATAATTATTTTATTAATGCAATATTTAAT